TTCCCATGTTATTACGGTGTATCCATATAAATGGCCCACCCTGTAGATAGAATTGAAGATTAACTATAAGGAGTAGGAACTGTTTTTTTTTTCTGATTGCAGGGTATTCAAGTTTGGGGAATACCCTGTTAGAACTAGATTTGTGTTTTTGATGGACCTGAGTGTGAAATAAGGACGCTGCCCTTTTGTATGTGCTTGTCAGTCATAAAGTGTCTGCATTTTTGTGTATTTTACTTTACTGGAGGCCACCATTTACAATATCTATATAATATAAATTTTATTCAATGAGAAACTGAAACGATAAACTCATCATGAAAGTGTTTACTCAGGCCATGGATCAAGCATGCTGACTGTTGAGTTACCTCCTGCTGGCCATTAGAAAACATGCAGGTTAGCAGCACTTTCACATCGATGTTCATTTTTAAGCAGACCCCTAATAAAAGTTGACGTTAAAGTTGCCATGGTGTCTGTGATAGCAAGCATTTGTCTATTTATTTCTCTTCTTTAAGCTCTGGCTTGGCTTCCATCAAATGTAACTGTTAGTGTCCCAGTGAAGGTTGTACATGTTTGTTTATTGCTGGGCAGGTAATCATTTGATTAAGCTTTTAAAAAGTGAAATCTAATTAAAATTGCTGTCTGTACCCATCACCCTACAACCAAAATAAGCCAACCGGTTGAGTTAAAAGAAGTGCATAGAAGAGTGATAGTTCTACTGTAGAAACACATTCAGAATAATTCAGAAAGGATTCTGAATATTTGTCAAAATGATCCAAAACCCCTCCATTCAAAACACTTAACATTCACATTGTTCTTTTCTGTATGCAGGCCATCCAGCTTGCAGACAGGACGATCTCCACCCAGACCTCCAGCCTGCCGCACCCCGACACTCTCCATCTCCCCAACTCCTTCCTGTTCCTCGTCCCTTCCCCGATCTGTCTACCATGAAATGACAGCTAACAATGTCATCATCCTGGAACCTGATTCCTCTAGCCCCGCCTCCAGGAATCGTCTGCTGTCTTCTGCAATCGGCGGCCTTTCCGATTGGCCAGCAAATTCAGATGCAGTGCCTTCCGCTAATGTCATTGTTGTAGAAACCTCCAATCTGATCATTCGCAGTGCGTCTGAGTTCTGCCTAAGCTCCACCCCACTGTCTGTGGAACCGCAGGAGAGCACCTTCACGTCAAATCCTTTTTTCAAGCTGCGCTCGCTCAGCAGCCAGTCACTGGTGGAGCAAGAGATCAGGATGGTGAGGCAGAGGGAGGAGGAGTGGAAAAGGCAGAGGGAGGAGATGTGGAGGAGGAAAAGAGAGGAGGAGTGGAAGAGAGGGCGAGAGCGGTACGATACTGTTTTGGTGTCTCCGGGTCTGAGTGATGTTACGTGCAACGGTATGTATCATCCACACAACTAAAACACTAATGATTTAGGAAGCACACAACCTACTAACCTTCTAACATACTAGAAACTTTTCATTTTATTGTAGATTTATTCAAATGAGTCAGTGTTTGAATGTGTTTGAATGTAAGACCGTGTGCTTATGCATAGATAGGTAAGAGTCCACATTTAAGTTTCTAACAACTTTCTCTTTCTGAGTGTTATGTTCATGATGTTAGCCAAGACTAACAGTTTTCACTGCTGAGGGAAAACAACAATTACTAAGTCAAACAGGTCAACAGCACAGTGTTAATCTGTTACATTATGACACATAAATCAGCCTTTGATGGATGCTTCAACAGTAAAGGCTTTAATGAGGACTTTTTATGATTTGTGACATCTTGGGAAAATTTCCCAACAAGCATCTAGAAGTGTTTCCGGATCTGAACAGAAATGTTAGAAAAATGTCTTATAGACTGTGTAGTTCTCAATTCAGGCCCTAATTCATATATGCTGATGATGCTGTTTTAATACCAGTGTCAGTGGTTCCAGACAGAAGCGTCTCCTCCCCGTCATCCCCCTCCAGGACCCGCAAAATAGAGCGATCCAGTTTGTCTTGTGACCACAAGGTTGGCAGACTCACACACACATTCATATGCATGCACTCTACAGCTGTTGTAGAAGACAAAGTGGTGTCAGCACCAAAGTCTGGAAATCATTATGCACACCTCTAATGCAAATGAGCGTCTTATTCAGTTGAATAAAACCACTTGACGTTCATATATAGTTCATATATAGCTCATATATAGTTCATATATAGTACCCCAGCACTGACAGTATCTTATGTTTCAAGTCATACAAACAGCTTATGACCCTGGATGTCATTGCTCCTCTGAAAAGAAGAGATGACTGTCTCTGATGTAATGCATAAAAAGTTTTAAGCATACAGCTTCTAAGGCTTTGCACTCATTTACAGGATGCTTATTTGACCTGTAAAAACTGAAAAAGTTTTAAAAAGACGTTTGGGAAGTTAGGACAGTTTCCTGTTCGTCACTAATAGGGCTGCCACAAACGATTATTTTGATAGTCGGCTGGTCACAGATTATTTTTGCGATTAGTCGACTAATCAGATCATCATCCATTGGACGTAAAACGTACAGCTTATTGCACCAGCAGCATCTGCTCTTATATAACTATCATTAGCTTACAGCTATACAGCTTTCAGGTCTGTGCTAACTAAAAATAGATAGATAGATAGATTGTCTCGGTGGAGTTTAATAAACTCAGCCGTCTGCTCCTTGCTATCTAAAATATAACAGGACACTGGAGTAAACTCTCGACCATCTCACACTTCTGTTTAATCAGTTTTCTGACGTTTGTGAAAATTATAGCAAATAAAACACTGAAAAAAGCCAAACAATAAATGTTTAAGTTATCTAAGTGACTTACATCATGTTTGACCTGAGTAGCGAAAGATCACAGGGGTTTGAAAACAATGTGCCGGGAGTTTGCTGTTCTCGCCGGCTCTAGTGAGCCTTGAACTCCCAGTCAGCTGTCGAGCTGGTGGGTAACAGACGTCTCCGAAAACGTCACTTTTACAAATATGTGGTGTCTCGATAAACTGAACAGATATTTGATGTTTACGCAGCTACATTCTTGCCTGAAAATATGTTAAGAGTTTATTTTGTGACCCAGGCAGAGTAATAAGAGTAATATTAAAACTAACTAGCTGCCGTCATTGTTGGAAATGCTATGAATTCTGGGATAGTTTGGGCCTGGAAGGATACACCCGACCTATCCTTTAAATCTGAGGAAATGAAGGACGCATTTGTCGGCCGCATTTGGAGAAGTCTATGAATTTGGACAGCCTTCGTCGTGTTGCTGTCACGTATTTGGCCTACAAATGCGGCCTCAGGAGGATGCAGCCTCTGAATTTGGACACAGCTACGATACCGGAGTTGCTTCTTCTTCTTCGGGGTTTAACGGCAGCTGGCATCCTTGTACATGCAGTGCTGCCATCTTCTGTTTCAGTCCGTTATTACAC